TTATGATGGAAAAAAAATCAGTTGTTGTTGCAGTTATAGCTTCCAGATATGTAGTATTATGAAGGAAATATAAAGCATTTTTTTGGATGCATCAAACATTCTTTATTTTCTGTCAAGAAATATGGGATCCTGATTTACTTTGTCATTCTTATAGTATTAGCATTTTTATGCACTAAACTTTTGCTTATATAAAAATGTCTCATTTTAATATTTTTCCACATATTTTTGTGGCAGAGGCTTAGGTCCTTGGGGTCCTGATTTAGTCCACAGGTATACAAGTGCTAGGTTTGTCAAATACTCAACTGGGGAACTGTTGACAGAATCTGAATCGAGATTACTAACAGGTATGGCGAGATAACTCATTGATGTGCTTTAGTTGTAACTTGTAAGAGCATATTTCTAACTGGTGTTTTTCTTATATTGAAGACTATGTTTATCATACATTAGCAGCCAAAGCTAGTGGTGAGTTGTGCTTAAAATATATTTTTTCATTTGGAGCATTTGCCAAGTCGCCTCTTCTACACAGGTTTGTTGATCAACCTCCTACCATTGATTAGTGAACTAACAATTTAGTCTTACAGTTCAACATCAAAATGTGACATCTTCACCTGAATGGTTGTTATTTGTAAATGGAGCAGTATGTATGTGATAGACTACATCCTGAATTTGCATTTCATGGCTAATCACTGAATGAGATAAAAATTGAAGCTTGTGAAGCCAAGTCGTAGTACTTGTGGCTTGATTCAGAATTTTACTAGTGCATGACTCATATCTAGTTGTTCAATGTTGAAATCTATTGTATTGGAACAAAAGTTATTCTTGCAAATGTCGATCTAGAATTCAATGAATAAAAAAGGAATTCCGAGTAGGAAACAGTTGGAAAGATACCAAGAGGCAAATTGAAGCCTTTAAAGTTTACAAGCTCTATAAAATATCCATAATTCTTAAAAGGTTTGCCTAAGAAATTCTCTACTGCCATGTCATTTGCCAATGAGCTTTAATGAAGCTCATGTCAAGAATTTTTTCTCTATCCGTTCAAACTTCCATTCTTCTTTTATTCGATATTTCGATGTACTACTATGTTATGTGGACTCGGGATTCTGCATGTGCAATGCTATTAACCTCTATTTCTCTCTCTGGTTTGCAGTGCCTCAGAGTGGAAAGTGCCTACCACTTTTATCTATGGTTTTAACGATTGGATGAATTACGAAGGGGCCCTAGAAGCTCGCAAGCATATGAAAGTTCCATGTGAAATCATCCGGGTTCCACAGGTATCACTTTCTCCATTTCCCCCAAAAGTGAAACCATGCTAAGAGGTTTTGAAGTGAATAACAAACTAAATTCCATGTTGCAGGCTGGGCATTTTGTGTTCATTGAAAACCCATCTGCCTTCCATTCGGCTGTGTTTTATGCTTGTAGAAGGTTTCTCAGTCCTGATCCCGACAGTGAATCCCTTCCTGAAGGGCTAACATCTGCATAGAGTATAAATTTCTGTACTGCTGTCTGTAAATCCTTTTTAGCTCATTTTTTATAAATAAATTCCATAATTTAATCAAGCCTTGTCCTAGTCTTGCTTAATGAAATTATTGTAAAGAGCAATTCAAAGAAAAGAAACCTGTAATATAAATTTGATTAATGATACACTTCGTAGTTAAAAGTTGTTACCAGTTATTCTTTTATTATTGTGCTATTTATTAAAATTTTAGAATCAACAATGTAAAACACGCACCATTTCTAATCCTGATTTTTTTCTACTTCGAAATATGCTCCTACCAGTTTAGTATAGGGTTCTGCTTTGATGATATGCTCCTACCATTTTAGTATAGGGGTTGAAGCAAGGAATCTCTGTATGAAGTGGTCCTGATTGGTAAGCAACATAATGATTTCGGTGCCTAAAAAGGTTTTTATGTGTAGAGTTTAGTTTAACTTGAGCAGACTTTATCCAATAAGTAGTTTTGTTTAAAGAGGGCTACTTTTCAACCCCCTATGTTTCTAAAAAACCATTTATGGTTCTCAAAGTGTATTTTCAGATGGCATAATATGTTCGGAAGTATACTTCTTTCTAGCCAGCATAAAATCTGTATTTTTGGATGTCCACTCCTGAAGTCATTTAGGGGGATGGTGAAAGTTTCCCCCCTTTGTAAATGGGTACTTTTCAAGTCTGGTCCATATAATATTACTCCCGGTTCATTGAGCAGAGTTTGGATTAAAGTATACAAGCCTGCTTTCTCTATAAAGATATGCATTTGTTCAAAATCTGTCTCATAATTGTGCATGTCTCATAATAATCACTGTGATTTATTTTGTACATTTGTTTTTATTACTCAACTTGCGCACCAATCAGTCAAACTATGGGTTAATGAAGCAGACACAAACCACCTAATCCAATATTAGGTATTGTAGGATTTGGTTCATATTCCTGAGTTTTACTATAGAATCACTTATTGTTGTACCATCCCTGGTTTAATACTTAAAATAGGATGCGGTGTTTTTTCAAGTGACACTGAATTGTGGTTTTTGCTTACCCATGTGAAATCGGGGCATCAAAAGAGGCACTTGGTGTGGTATACTAGGATGTTTCTCAATAAACATGATATAGAGAACTCAATATGTATGTCGCTGCTGGTGTACAAAATAGGATGATTCATATTATATAAAGATGAGAAAAACATAATAAGTTACGAGAAAGTTCAATTGAATGTTGATTAAAGTGTTGTGTTGACTTCACAATCACGAGTTAGTTTATATATTGATTAGTAATTCATGAAATGTTTAAACGCAAAAAAGTCTTACTAAAATTGAGGTGTGTTGATAAATCAAACTATCATCATATGGTGTGAAATTACTAAAACCAAAATTTTAACATATAAAGCATAATCCTCATTGTAATAAAAGATGGAGAAAAGTAGTCAATGTTCATGGGAATCATAAGGCGGACTTGTTAGATTAAATTTTATTGAGATCTTGATATTATGATTTTCAAAATTCTATAAATTTTTTCAGAAATGTAACAAAACGTGCCTAGATTCTTGATGCCGATTCTATTTTTGATTCTCGTTGAAAAATTTATAAGTAAATGATGATAAAGATGTCCTAAATGGAATTGAAAATGCATGTTATGATTGGGAGTTGAATATTATTGGTTCCATACACTTAAACTCACTTGTCTCTGTGCTCTTTTTGTTTAAGGTGTTATTTTTTGAATCACCATACCTCACCTCACTACAGTGACTTAATTTGTGTTCGACTATGATTTCCTTGATTAAAATGGGTAACAATTTTCTATTTTAAATTTTTATTATTCAGTTTTGTTATCTGTTAAAATATAGTAGTCTAACTATGTGTCCCATCTAAAACAGCCCAGAACTTCCACAATTTTGCTTCTTCCGCCGCACTGCTTTAGTTGGAGCGTAGATTTTTTCTGTTTTGTTTTTTTATTTGTTTCTTGATAGGTGGTTTATTCAAACATGTTTTTTCATTTATGTTAATTGATTTAGCTGAAGCTCAAACTAATAATTATTGTATTAAATAGTATTGTTTTATTTTATTTATACACTTAAATGATTGTGGCTTAATTGATTAAATTTGAGGTTGACTAACTTGTGGCCTTTTCAAGTGTGTAACAAATTTTGAAATTCTGAAATTGAACTTTTTTTTAGGTAAAAAGCGGATTAAGTATGCTGTCATCAAGCATACTCTTCTTTTCTTTTGTCCCTTTGATTTGAAAACTTAATGCTTTCAATGCTTCCCCTCGGATGCTGTCAAAGCCAATAGCAAGGAAGATTTGCAAAGGTGCAACGTCACACTTGCATGCTTTATATTCAAGTGTTTAGTTTGCAGCATAACAAGATTTATGTGGCTAGTTAAATTGTGTATTTATGAAAGGGTGGACAATATAGTGAGAACATGGAGCCTGCAATTTTGTTGATGGTGCATTTTGTTCTAAAATATTTGGATATGAGCAACACTTATCAAGTTTTTGTTACTTCTTGACTATGATATGGAACATGTAAGGGTATCATAGTTAAAGGTGGATCATTGGCTTTTCCATTACCTTTCAACAGTTGAATTGTCTTTTAAATATGAAAAATCATTTAAACAAATATATTTAATTGATTTTTAATTTTTTAATTAAAATTATAGGAATAAAAAAATGACAATTACTAAACGATTTTCTTAAACATTTATGATATCAGTTTATAAACAATAAGTTATAAGTAAACAGAGTCTTAGTTGTTTGAGTTGTATGTTTCAAAATTCTTTCCCACTCCTCTTTTGTGAATAAAGATTGTCAATTTATCTCATATTAAGTGTTTTATAAATATTTTGATAAAAGAATTAACGTGTATTAGTTTTAGTATAAAGTAAGAGAATACTAACAAGTGTATATTTACTATTTAGGGTAAGTGTAAGATACTAAAAATGGTAGCTTTGAAAGCCAGAATAATGTAATTATTGTATTTCAATATGATTAACTAGACAAACTATCATATTAGTGAACACTCTGGCAAGACCCATTATACATTACTATTTGTTTGCCTAACCACAACTCTTCAAAGTGAAAAGGATACCTGATATGCTTCAGTTAACTTCTACTATTATGATCTTCATTCATATTGTGGGAAACATAATCACTCTTTTTCTAAACTTCGTAGTCAATTTTACACAATCCTGACAACAAAAACTTGTTGCCAGTAAGTAAATGGTTAGAACAACAACTATAGTACAAACACAAATAATCTCCCCAAATTGTTGTTTGCTGTAACTAATCATGAAAATTAAATACAGTACTTCATAATCAATCATTTACATGTCTAGTCTAAATTTACAAGGTAGACAGACACTACATATGTATTGTCCAAATAGCCTTATAAATGAATATTTAAATGATTCATTCCCCTTCTTGAGTCCAACTTGAATCACTTACAGCGCTGCAAAAACTTCAAATTACTGACTGAATTTCATAATATGCAGCTTCTATAGAAGAACTAAAGCTGCATTCAGGGTTCTGCAGTATACTCGTCTATAGTTTGTTTTACTGCATCCAACTGTGACATGACATAGTCCACCTTCTTGAAACATATCTCATTGGCTATTCTTGGACCATAATCACATTTTTCAAATGGACGATATTCACAGGCACTTTTGATTTCATCACGCAACGCTACTTGGATGTCCTATAAAATTAAAAAAGAAAATAATGGTTAAAGAACCTTACAAAATTACAGCAAGGTTTGAACATCAAACTCATAATGATGAACCAAAATAACATATATTACAACGATCTCAAGTTCACAGCTTTATTCACTTGCTGAAATTCACAGTATCGATTTCACTACTAATTCTGAATAACTGAACATGCCAACAATTTAAGGAGAAACTGACATCATGCCATCGGAAAACCATAAACACACTTATATACTCCAATAACTAACAAAACAGAACCCATTATTGTGAAATACAGTAAGCATTTTCAAACACAACTAATTCTTCTAAAGGTATTTATTCTAATACAATCCACTCAAAAGCATCTCTGCAGTTTGCAACAATTATCCAAACAAGTACTTTTGTTTGAATCTAACTTCTTAGGAAAACTATTCTTGGTAGAACTCGGACTTCATTTCATATCTTTAATTTGAATATGTTGAGTTTGGTGTTCAATTTTCTCGTCACAACATAACTAGTGCTGTTTGAGCATTACTATGTGTCTGTCGCACATTCAATCTGCGTTGGGTAATTCAGTCATGATTTTAAATATAAACAGGAAGACTTTGAACATAATAAGCATTAACTATCTTAGGATTCATAGACTAAAATTACAAAGGATGTGTTTATCATAGCTGTGAGAACAAAGCATGAAAATATACAACTGTTATGAAAGTGCTAGAGTCAGATATTAAACTCAAAATACAAATTGGGAATCTTGTGATAAAAGACATCTAAGTATGTTATATCACATGTTTATTCGGATTTGATACCTATAAAAAGGATAAAGTGGAGATGTAACCATTAATTGTAATTGAAAATCAATGGATAGAATTGTGATAAAAAGACATTGTTGTATATTAATGTTAGCAGATTGCGGAATGTGTAATGCCAAAACCAGCTAGGCGTAATAGAAAATAGCATCACGGACAAATGGCAGAAGCCATATTGCAGCTGAAAGAAGTCAATTATAAGTAAATAAGGCATGTTGCATTTGCATACAAAGAAAAAGGTATAGGAATCACCACAATTTTTTCAAAACCAAATTTTTTTTCCCGTTAATGCCGCTACATCTGTTAGCAGAAACTGGAATAGCAGCCGCTGTTGCTATAATAGCGAAACAAGGATAGCGTCATGGTTTTAATGGCGGATTCATCAAAACCCTCTGTGGCATAGCACTGCCATCGCCACTATTTGACAACACTATAATCAAACTACAAAGTCATCAAAACCTCATTTGCATATCTGATCCTTATATTACAACTTCACACTTTATCCTCCAAATTACATCCCTCAATTTAAAAAAGCCCATCACCAAATAGATTCATGGTTCAATTCCAGTACAGAGGAATGCATGTGCAAATCATAATAAGATTATGTGAGAACAAGATTAGTGTAACAAAAAAGGAAGAAAGAGGTATCAACTGAAGCTTTCATTATTCATCTTAGAACTTACTGAAAACAAACAAGTTTAACAACCTCTAACTAACTTTGTTAGTCTCGTTACAACAACAACAACCAAGCTTTATCCCACTAAGTGAGGTCAGCTACATGGATCAACTTCCGCCATAATGTTCAATCCAAATTGTTAATCTCAAGATCTTTCCTAATAACCTCTGTTATAGTTTTTAAGGGCTTCTTCTACCTCTAGTTTTTTAACTCCTCTCTATCTAATCTACTCTCCTTACCATAAAACCTACAGGTCTTCTCTCGTTACAATGGATGAATATGGTTTGCAGTAGTTCTTTTCTAACATAGTGCAATAAAACTTGAATATGGTACTCACCTTTATATGAAGCTAATGTTAATTATTGAAATGGAGCAAACTAGGGAAGTGTTGTAATAATTGAGAGAAGAAGTAATACCTTGATTAATTGCATGAATTCGAGGCAGTGATTTTGGACAAGATCTTTTCTAGGACCAACTGGACTTGCAAGCTCATCCATGACTCCTCCTGCAAGCTCCAAAACCTTCACAATTCTCTACACACATAAAATCAAACAATTCTTTTCACAATTCTCTACACACAAAATCAAATGTTGCTTTGAAAAGATTAATACCTTTTCGACATTCTGAAGTCGCTGCAAAGAAGTTGTTTGGCCTTGTGAATCCATTGATGTTGCTTCCTATTTTTCTTTCAAATTCAAATTCAAATCTGTACAATAAATTGTTGTTAAACAAAAAAAAGAGAAACTCGAAAACCATCAAATACACAATTCAAATGCGGCGCAAATCGTGCTGGAATCGCATTCTCGAGCGCCATACAATAGAGGGAAAGAATAAACGAAATAGAGTATGTGGATGAGTACCTCACAGTTTCTGACGGCGACGGCGGTTGAGATTTCCGGCCAGTTGTGTTCAGTTTATTTCTTCTGATATACAGTAGAACAAGGGCAGAGCTGCAATTTGTTTTTTTTATTTTATTGGAGGAAGTTGCTTGACGGGGCCTCTTAGGGATTAGATTTATTTTAGATTTATTGAATATCTAATATCTAATGTATTGGTTTATAAATAAGACAAATACAATAAATATTCAATGAATTTAAAAATGACTTTTGTATATAATATGAGACGAAATATAAAATTAGATCAATACGAAAATGGAAGTCAAACGGACAACAAGTTAAAAATATCAAAAATTAGTATTCATCGTTGCGAAAAAATCAAACACCATTAGATCAATTTGTTTCGCATATTTTCTTCATGATATCATCATTCAATTCAAACTCACAACCTAGAGCATTCAAATTCAATCTAACTCAAAAACAAAACACAACATCAATTATATATCATTACATTTAATCTAAGCATTATAATACAATCACATTCCACGACCATCTTTCAAGATTTTTATCAAAACCATTAATCTACAATCCTTACAACATCAAACACCCAATCTTCTACCATACCCCATATCAAACACCATTGTAATGCAATAATTCACTCTTACCCTAGGTTTTTCCAACAATTTTTTAAGTCTTCAATGGGATTCCTAGTATGTCCATGTATTGTCAAACTCAATTGTCCAATTCTCTCTTTTTATTTTAATTTTTAATCCTTCTAATTATGCTTCGCCTATTTTACCCTCAATTTAACCCATCTAATTACTACTTTTGCCCTTAAGTTCCTGTCTAACTTCCACCTTATCCTCAATGTTACTACAACCTCTATTTTTTTATTATTTTATTTAATTAATAAAATTAAATAATTATTTTAAATTAATAAAATAATTTTCAATTATTCTAAAATCTCTAATTGCTCTCTACACCTCACCACATGATCACACATCTTCACTCTCCAACTTATCTAATTAACCACAATGAATAATTAAATAAACACCACATAATTATATTTAAATCAAATAAATAAATTTCTAGAAAATGGGGTATTACATGGTACATATATGCTCTCAACACTCAGCTTAAAGAAAGATGCTTTGGAAGGACGTAGAAGATCTAAATACTCAAGTGCAAAGGTCTTGGTTTCTGACGGGGGATTACAATAATGTGTTGTCAACTCAAGATAGAATTGGTGGAACTTCTGTCCATGAACGGGAATATGTTGATCTTGTTGATATGATGGGCAAAACTGAACTTTTTGAAAAGGAGAGTGTAACGCGGTGGGAGAACTGACTTGGTTGTTTTGCGTTTTATCACAAATGTTGCGGTTAGCAAGATTCGTCACCGACTTTTCTTTTATCCAAAAGAAAAGGCTGAAAAGAACAGGAAAGACCTTTGAGATGTTTTCTTGACTTCGGATGATAGATTATGCCCAAAGGAGGGAAGGCCCAGCGCTGCAAAAAAGGGTAAAAAAATGTCAAAAAAATGAAAAAAAGGTCACGCTGGGGCTTGAACCCAGGACCTCATGGTGACAGGCGCACACTTTAACCACTGGGATGGTGATACATCCATTAACTTATGTAAAACAACAAATATATATTTGAAACTGCTTCATGAAAATAACTTTATCTTCAACCTCTGGCCGGACCACCTGCATCTTGTATATTTCTCATCCATTTGCAAAAATGTAAACATGAAACTTGTGGAAAACTTCACCATGGTTCCAGAAATGTAATTAACTAAAGCTATAGATAAAAAATGAGCATGAATTTTGAATGGTACCAAATTCTGACCTAATTTTTCCAGGATGTTCAGATTCAAAATTCTAACTACTTAAGCAATATAAATGAAATCCAAATACATGGTTAGCTTCAGAATAATTATGTCTACATTTTTCATTTACAAACTAAACATTAATGATGCTTGTATAAAGAGTTCAAAAGTCAGAAAACTCACCTTGCAAGAGGGTATCGTGTTTTGGATTTGAGCAACTTTTAATGAGCTCCAATGATTGGGTTAGCTTCCTCTAGTTCCCAAGAAGCTAATGTGATGCTTAGCTTGAGCTGAAAGTTCCTGAGGAGTTCTGGAGAACTCCAAGTGAAAAGCTCTATTTTTGAAAATGGAGGATGGTGTTAATGGTGTTACAATCTTGTAACAGGGTGAGGGATGAGTTCTAAATGATGTTTAGAAGCTTTAGGAACAAAAAGGCTTGAAAACGCACGAGGGAGATGTGAGTTTCAAACTTTTTGGTCAGATCATGCAAGAATCGAGGTATGTGATGCAGTTCTGAGTTCTAGGTGGTTTTGGGGCTTAAGCGTACGTGTGTTTTGTTGTCAAGGACTTGCACATAAGTAATGATAAGGTTTTTGTGCTTGAGAGGGTCATAAGTACAAGTTCTAGACTGATTGCTATGTTACTTAATTTTGAAGAAAAGTGGGAGCATGGTTCCAAGATGAAGTACAAGCATGGGCTGAGTGATTGTAAGGCTTGATACAAACTTATCTTGAGTTATAGGACATGTATGATCAGAAGAAAACCATTGCAAGGCTCAAGAACAAGTTTTGTGCATAAAGCTACTTTTTCAAAATGGCATTGTGCACTTTCTTCCTAAAATGGATATAAAGCGTGGCATTGCATTGAATGCTTAAGTTGAGGCCTCTAATAGCTGTGCAAGCATTTAATTATGGAGTTCCTAACAAGTTTGAGGCCTGTAAAGTAGATATTATGCAGCATAGGTTTGAGATTTGAATCTTTGTTCATCATAAAATGACCTATAATTTTAGTTTGAAACCCTAACTTCCTCTCTTCAATTCTCCTTGCTCAAGAATGATCTCGAGGAGTTCTTGGACATTTTAGAAAGCTTGTAATATGATATACAACCCATCTTTGAATCACTTTTGAAAATTCCCCTTGGAACTATATGAAAAAGTTCCATGAAGTTAGGTCAAAATCCTGCCTAAACTAGGGCAAAATTTCACGAAGTGTTTAATTTTCAGACCATGACTTCATGAATTAATAACTTGAAATCCAAGCACTTCTAGGAGAAGTTTTGTAAATAAATGTTGTATATATAATGTATATCTATAACTTTCACGTTGAAAGTTTCTTTTGAATCATCTTGCATCATGGTGAAAAGTTTGCTCAAAGTTGTGAAAAAACATGAAGTTTTCAACACTTAGAAAAATTTCTAAGTTTGAAAACTTTGACTTTTCAAAATGAAATCTTTACTTTTTGATTTCTTGATGAATAAGTTTCATATTTTGACATTTTTGGATGAATTGTGATCTTTGACACTTGATTTTTACCAAAAAGTCAAAGTTTGACTTTTCAGTGTACAATTGACTTTTGATCAATTGACTGAAAATTCACTATTAACCCAATTGATCTTGAGCAATGTTTTGAGTCATGCCATTAGGTAAAAATGGTGCAATTGAACTCTTAATATAATGCCTCAAACCAAATAACCATTTTCTAGGTCAAAAATCAAAAATTGCCTTTTCTCAATCAAAACCCTAATTTTGACCATTTTGCCCTTTTAATGATTTGATCAAATTTCTTGAGAAATTATGATCCAAACTTGATAAAATGATACATATGAGTTTATGATGTTGATATGGATAAAAAATTATGAAGTTTGATTGTAAATTGGCCACAGTTGACTTTTTCCCCAATACTGCTGATTTTTAAGTCAACTACTCAATTGACTGAGCAAAAATGTGATTCAAGGCTTGAAACTTGACATGAGTAATCTTGGGGGTCCATAATGATCCATGAAAGTAATATGAGGAATTGAAAGTTCAATTATCCTTGTGCAATCTCAAACCCTAATTTCAGTCATCAATGCTTAAGGAGGTGTCTTGAGTTGATCAACCCTAGTGCAGTCTTGAACCAAAGGAGATCTTGTGGGAAAATACTTGATAAATGAGAGGGAAAATTTTGGGGTACAACAATGATGCTTCAACAAAAAGATATTGTGTTGCTGGTTGTAATATCCTAGAAATGCTTATGTCTTTGTTTGAACATGTTGATGTTGTTTAGGTTAAATGTTGTTGTTAAGTTCTTCTATTTGTCTAAGTATTTTAATTTATGTGTTATTTTTTGAAATTGTTATTTATATTAAATGCAAAATTATTAGTGGCATAAAACATAATTTCTTGGCGTCATTATACATACAACTTTGAATATTGATAAAAAATGAATAACTAAGTATTACTAGTTCCTACATTGAGGCATCATGTTCGGTTGTGACTTGAAAGACGATACAATGCACATTTTCTCTCTAACTTATCATACGCGTCCATTTATGTTGTAATACGGGTGCTCACATGAGGACCTTTCTTGTTCCTCCGCATGATTGGATTATGGAAAATTTGATCTCCCTCAAAAGTGGGCAAATACTCATTGTATTGTAGAACTGGAAAGCTCATGCTGTAAACCCCAAATAAGTTTGTCACCTTGTAAACGTCAGACAATAGAAGAAAGGCGTCTTGGAGCACCATGGAGCATGCAGCAATAACATGTGAACAAGGAACACGATATGCTTGAAACTTTCTGCAGTCACACCAACCATCTATTAGGTTGACCTTGTAACGTCCCAATGGCTTCCCCTCACCGTGGTTAATTGTCTCCTTCACACTGAAAGTGTTATTATTGTAGTAAAAAATGCTTACCTGATGCGTGGAGAATTTTGATGTCTCTTCTTTCATCACCTTCACGCACTGCTCTGTAAATGTTTATCCAGAATTTAAAACTGCACTCCACTTTGCACCCCTTTC